GCGGGGATACATTTAATTTAGGGCGAGCCACTATGGGGAAGGGGGGGGGGGGCATACAGGTATCAATCATCAATCAGCCATCATGTATTCATGGTCCATAAATGACTCCTTTGGTAAAACATCTAAATGTTTTGCTTTAGCACCATGATGTTCCTCTAGTCTAGTGGGTTCCTTCCCTTGACACTTTATCTGTTCCTTATTTATGGGGGTAAGAGAAGTTCAGAGTTTTTGTTAATACCAACTTCAGACATTTTTTTTAGCTTTGAATAGAGTGGGGAAGGTTTAGAACCTTTGTCTTGTTGTTAATGTAGTTTATGTAGCTATTAAGGAGATTTTCCCTCGTTTTCTCTGTGGTCCCCAAGACATGAAGTGAGCAAAATCACTCCAAAGAGTTCACAGAGAATAATTTATTTATTTAAGGTAAAGTGCAGAATTGTGAGACTATCTGTGTCTACATTGGGGATATCTACTCGCTTGCTCTTACCGAAAGTTTTTTTTTGACTGGAGTTGGGATTTAGGTTTAATCCTGACACTCATAATGACAGCCAGGGACATTATAAGCAGTAAGGTGGGGAGGTCGCCAGAGGACTTCACAGTGCTGGATTTTCACAATAGTCCTGCAAAATGTAAGGATAACAACAGCTATAACTTTTTTTTTCAAGAATTGAATAGAATGGGAAAAGGTTAGAACCATGCTCCTCTTCAGGAGATCTAACCCCCACTGTTTGTCACAATGTCCATTGTCACCTGGACAGAAAGTGAGAAAGAGTCCAAAATTCTAGGCCTGTCACCAAAACAGGAGTAGAGAGAATCATATTCCTGTCCCATTGACAACTGTCATAGGTGCGATTTCCACCATAGAAAAGTTTACTCTCGCTTCTTGTTGTATCTTTGGGGGTTGAAAGTGCAAGTATATCTCGTTGATGGGGAAATACACAGCAAAACCTGAAATGGGTTCTAACCCTTCCTTACCCAATTTAAAACTGAAAAATAAGTTTTGTCTGGAGATATACAGTAATGAAATACAGGTTTGTATGCCCTCTATTGTTTTTTACTCTCCACCCAAAATAAACACAATAGTTTGGGGGTATTCTTTAACAAGCAAGCAAAACCTTTCTGTCCAATGAAATCACAAATTTCCCTTGTATTTGATCAGTGTCTGACTATGATCTGCTGTATGTCGCATCAGCAGGTAGACAGGTGTCATCAAAGGACATCTTTGTACCAGATAGGTAAGTATCCGTAACCGTGATGTCATCCAGCTCAGTGCTGAAATGATCAGGGCTTCCTCCATTGCTCGACTCCTTGATAACGCTGTAATTAAGAGCCACGCAATAATTTTTTGGCTTCTCTGAACGCTTTTTGTTGCAATTGCAAAGTTTCCTGAAGGCGGCTCTGAACTTCTGTGACATAAGGTTGTAGATGATGGGGTTGATGGCACTGTTTAGGTAAACGCAAATTCTGCAGAACAGAACAAACCAGTTTTCAAGGTAGGGATTAGACAAGAAGGAGTTCACAACCACCAAGGTCCTGTACGGCATCCAGAGGAAGGCGAACAGAAACACAACGACAGCCAACATTTTTGTAACCTGTGGATATAGAACAAAAAAAGACTATCAAGCAAGTAATGAAAGCAAGCATACTAAATACACTTAGGTCCAAACAATACTGGTATTTCAGTGTGGCATGATTCCTGTCAAGTTAAATCAACTCAGTTCACGGGGACACATAATGAGAAGTTCCACCTGAATTTCCAACTGTTACAGCCACTACAAGACCAAAAGCTGGTGTCATGTTATCTGGATGGATTTTCCATAATGAACAAAAACAAAAAAATTATTGTGGATTCCAGCTGCAACATAGGGAAAACCAGAGACTAGCAGAATTTGCATGTACCTAAACAGTTACCAGGAATCTCACCTCTAGAATACCAGTGATATAAGGATCATGAGGGACAAATCAACCCACCAAAACCAAATTAAAGGGTATATAAACCCTGAAAAATAACATCTCTTATTTAGCCCCTTTTGGCCTGCTAAAACTGACCTTTACCCATATCTTTAAAATAACAATAAACACGCCTTTAGAAATGTTAAGTAATGACAATCTACAAACACAAACTTCTAGATAATTGCCAGCTTTGTATTCTTTGCTTCCCTTATTTCTCTTTTCTTCCCCAGTTTTCTGACAGTGGCCATGTTTACTAAGGGAAGATTACTAGCTCTCCTTTTACTTCCTTGATTTTTGGCACATGTAACTAGACATGTGACTAGGACATGTGACCATGCACATCATCTCAGGGGAGGAAAATGCCTTTTCCTGAGATCTCATGAGATTACAAATTAGATTTCCCAGCTATGCTCTGCTGATGACAAGGCAATCCCAGTGTGCATTGCTTTGGCAAACTGAAATCATTTTGCCCTTTCAAAGCAGGAAGTAAATGCTCTGCATGTGTAAGTATTTAAAAATCACAGCATTTTACACCTGACATGTCTATGTTATTATTAATCATCATACATAGAGGGATGCATTGGTAGAATTAGATTTTTGAGTGTAAAGGTCTGCTTTAAAGGAGAATAATGGGGAGAGTGAAATATACGTATCCCCATAATTATTCCTATTGATTGAGAACTGAGCAATCACATACCACCAATTGCTCAGTTCCTGATTATTTCCCTGCAGAGAGCAGTGACTATCAGCCATCACTTCCAACAGGCATTCCCCCCTCCCCTGTTCGATCCTCCAGTGCTGACAGGAGGGACGAACGGTGGAGGGGGCGGGCACAGCTGGCTAGAGAGCCAGAGGTCAATCAGGTAGCGGGGTGGATCTTGACAATATTGTCGGGATCAGCCCCAGCTGCAGCATTGCTCTGCACTGTCAGCATATAGCGGGCCATAGCCCGCTATATGCTGAGTTTGGGGTCACAGGAGGACATTAGTGTATGTCCTACTGTGACCCTAAAGAGAACTATGACAAAAAAAGGTTGGACCATAGTTCTCTTTTGAATATATCATTAAAATAATTTTGTTATATCTGTTCAATAAGTGGGAAAAAACCCTTTTGATCTTGTCAGAAATATTGTCTGCCTTGTTTGCAGTTTAATCAGTTATAATGTTCCCATTTATCTCCGAAAACTATGGTACCTGGACCCTCTTTATTGTGGGGAATAGGAGATGCGCTGATCCACCCAGGACAGGGTATCAGTATGTAATGTATGGGCTATAGTCTGATGGGTCCAGCAAAGTTCCAAAACTTTGTGAATTACTTAAATGTTTAAGGTGGACTTTAAATGAGATCCCAGATGTGCTGCTAAATGGAGCTGACATGCGGGAAGTTTGAGGTGCCTGCTATGTACTGCCAGCTACTGATTAGGTACATTGTAGGTTTGCTTTGAAGTACCACCTTGGCATAGCACACCCATTTCAGAAAGTGGAGAGATAAGCATTTAGTGACTCCCCAATGTGTTCCGTTGATGTACATAATTACGGTTTACTGTTACCAAGCCTGGAACTGCTAAGTTTTAGATTTTCAATCTACATTTAATGAAAAAAAAAAGGCAATCAAAACTGTAAAGTCAACTTCTTTCATCACTTTTTACGAGCCTTTAAATCGCTCATAAAATGAATCTTCTGAAAGAATTCATTAGGCAAGGGATATACAGGTCGCTGGAATAGCTCCTTAAAATCAGCTAATCATCAAATCAGCAGATGCAATCAAACGCTCGGACAAATAGTACCGTGTACATTAAAGTCTGCTGGCTTCCCTAACGTACAGAAAGCTAATCATTGCTTGAGTAATTTGTGCATTTTGTGACTTTCTGCATCATTCCCTGTCACAGGCAGAAATTTCATCCTTCCAGGGTTATGTTTAAAAGACTAATCACTTGGGTTTTGGAAGGACTTAATCACTGCAATAAAATGATTGTAAAAATGAAAAAAGGGCCTCAGTCATGAAGGGGTTAAGAGATGGTATAAGTCTTGCTGTACATGGTCCATTCATTCAGATTCAAACGGGACTAGTCCTTTTTCATACATGGAAGCTACAGTATATGGGCCTGTTCCATATTTCCTCTGAAATTTAAGCACCAGGTTATGGAATATGAACAGATTTGATGCTCCCAAATGCTGTTAGTTCTTGATCCAGACAGCTTGGCACTGGTGGTATTTGGCATAGAGCTTTAATTGCCACGAATCCTATAGCTGATTATTTCCCTGCAGAGAGCAGTGACTATCAGCCATCACTTCCCACAGGCATTCCCCCCTCCCCTCTTCGATCCTCCAGTACTGACAGGAGGGACGAACGGTGGAGGGGGCTGGCACAGCTGGCTAGAGAGGGAGAGCCAGAGGTCAATCAGGTAGCGGGGTGGATCTTGACAATATTGTCGGGATCAGCCCCAGCTGCAGGGACTGTTGCGATGCTGAAAAGTGTAACACAAAGGAACCTCTGACACTATACCCTCCCCCACTTGAATGTGGCCATTCAGCGGAGACCATCTCTCCGCTGAACAATATTTTTTTAAATTGTTTTTGCATTGGTATGGTGCATTGGCATTGCACATCTACCCCTGGCCTTTATTTGACAATATCTCATCTATTAGCCTTACGAAAGTCAAGAAAATAATAGCTAGTTGTGCCTGCAATAGACCTCAAAGGGTTTCATCGCTAAGTTAAGGGTTTGCAGACTTCCTGCAGGGTTCAGCAAACTCGTCTCGAACTGAACCTTACCAGGTTCACTCATCCGTACTTATCAAACAGATATAACAAGATGGTTGGCAGGTCTGTGCCATAAAATACCTACATGGGGCTGTGAGCACTTATAGCTACTAATCCACCTGAATGGGATCTGAAAAAGAAAAAGACCCAACAAGCCATGATTGGGGTTAAAGACAGGCAAGCGGAATACACATTAGTGGGTACTCCATTAGGGAAATCAGAAATGGAAAAAGATTTGGGGGTCATTGTAGACCACAGATTGAATAATAGCTTGCTATGCCAGGCTGCGGCAAACAAAGCGAGCAGAGTACTGTCTTGTGTTAAAAAGGGAATGTACTGTAGAGACAAAGCAATCATTTTGCCACTTTATAGATCACTGGTTCGGGCCTCATCTTGAGTATGTGGTTCAGTTTTGGTCACCAGTCCACAGAAAAAAAAGTCCTTGAGCTGGAGAAAGTCCAAAGAAGAGCAACCAGCTAATTAAGGGGCTGGAGGATCAAAGCTATGAGACAAGATTACTAAATTTAAACTTTTTCACGCTGGAAGTGAGGTGATTAAGAGGGGACATGATTTTGTTGTACAAAATGTTCAGTGGTGATGGCACTAAACTTTTTACTGTAAACTCCCTAACAAAGACTAGAGGTCACCACCTAAAATTGGTGAAGAAAAAAATGTATCCACAAGGGGCTTAGGGGATTCTTTTCAGTTAGAGTGGTTACATTTTAGAACTCGCTGCCACAAGCAGTGGTATCTGCAAAGAATATTGATTTGTTCAAAATCAATTAGATACCATCCTAAGAGACCGTAACATACAGGGGTACAGGTACACACAGGGACTCTTATACACACGCACGCACAACACACATGCACACACACACACAAAGGTTGAACTTGATGGACCTGTGTATTTTTTCAACCTCAAATACTATGTAACTATGTAATACCAGAGAAGTCTAAACTGTGTTAGGGAATCAGACAAAGAGAGGTTGCAGTCAGCCAGTTATAAATAATGCCAAGAGTTGGAGAAGTGTAGCTGGGGTGAAGTCAAAGGTCAGTAGCAGTGAGTCCACAATGCAAGCATCAGACCAGGAATGGAAAGCAAAAATCGAAAGTCTATCCAGTTGGAGCACACCAATAATTAGAAAACAAATCAGGGTCTGTTTCAGAGAAACAAGCAAATAACAGATGGATCCAGGGCAAGGCAAAGGAGGGATATTGGGGAGCAAGACAAAAGCTAGAGCAGAGCACACAAGAGCCAGGAGACAAGGCTGTGGAACAAAGATTTCACCCAATCCTGGGTTTAGTGGTAGAGCCTAAGCCCAGGATTGGGTAAAACACACTAAGAGGGGGCAAACCTTGGGTAGGACTCAGTGCTACTGATGAACTCTCAGTAAATTGATTCTGCTTAGAATGGAGTGCGGCAGGATTTCATCTTTTGTTAGCAGCCCTTCAGTCACGCTTCCTATATATATTGTTCTTGAATGCACAAAAGGAAAAAGTGCTAAGAGGAAGAGACTGTCTGCAGAGACAAGCAGCATCTCTTTAATTGTGCATGCTCCCTACTGATTCCTTTTAGATAATACAAAGCTAACCCAGGGAATAGATTATTTTGTTTGTAAATCCCCTTCCATTTTTACTTCTCATAGTGGAGCCCTCAAGCCCTAGGCAGGGTTAGTGCCATAATCATTTAGTTTTTTGCTTTGGCTGTGTGTACAGTTAGATGTTTCATTTATATCACTAAGCCATAAAAATATAATTTCACGGATTTCAGTGTAATTTTCAGAAGATAAAACAGTCACACATATGATTAAACTTCAAGAGGAGAAAGCCACGGATTCATCACGACTAACTTAATATTGTAAACAGTGAGCTGATCC